GGTATATGGCGCGACAAATAATTTCGTATCTTCGTGCACGATAAGGAAAGAAGGAAGGAAAGCGAGCTTCAGAGGTGAATATATATTTCGGCAGACGATTCCCACCACGACGATCGATTCGCTTCTGAGATCGAAGAATTTCTCGCGATTTGTTGCCCGAAATAAATCGCGACTGCGTATTCGACGTGGCTCGCGATAAGACGCTAGGTGCCAAGCAGGCGGGATTACGAGGATATCGAGCACAGATCGAATTCGATTTGCAATATGCAGAAAGAGGGGTGGAAGGGGGATGGAGGGATAGTTGCTCGTTCGGGGCAGAGCGGGCAGAGAAGCCGGGCACTTCGATTGAAAATAGTTCGGTTTCAATCTCGCCCCATCTCGGCAGTTCTCCGGAGCTCCTGAATAAACACTGACTTTCTCGCTTCACCTCACCCGGAATCAATTCTAGCGAATAACCGAGGTGTTAAGCTCACTCAAGCCGACAGGCGGCGCCCCGTCGTCGCGGGGATACAAGGGGAATGAGGGCGAAATTTAAGGGGCTTCCCGAAAAGAGACGTTTCTCGTAGCCCCGGAACCAACCGCGCTCGAAAGAAAAAGCTGCGGGAAAGGAAAGCGGCGGGAAAATCTGCAACCTGCGCGCGATGCGGCGTCGCGTAAACACATCCATCATACTACATGTTGCGGATTAGGTCCTATCTACGGGATAGAATCTCGTTACCCACGATGATAACGTGCTCGTCATGACGTTACTCCTTCTTCTTCTTCTTCTTCTATTTTTTTCTTTCACTTTTTTTTATTGGCGCGAGATTCAGTATGATACGCGCAATGACGAAATATTTTCGAGCTACGCCGTCGCCGACCTACATAACTCCCTCATATACGGGGTTGAAATAGTGTTTGCCTTTGCGGAAATTCGCATCAGTTTGGGGAACATGTTTTCCTTGCATCATGTCGAGTTGTGAGTACGCCGATTACATCGTCATAAGTGCTCTGACGCTCAACAATTTAGCACTGTACAGGAATGTTTTGTTGTGTGTGTGTGTGTGTGTGTGTGTGTGTGTGTGTGTGTGTGTGTGTGTGTGTGTGTGTATGCATGTATATATGTATGTACGTATATATAAAATATTTTTTACATATTCTCTCTTTTTTGTAAAAAGTATCTTATATAATCCGCGCAATTTTTTTAATAAAAATAAATGTTATCCTAAAGAGTTAAAAATATTTTTTTATTATTACGTTTTATACAGGTCTTCGTAATCTATGAGTTCCTTTCTGATAAACAAGTTTTTTAAATCGGAGTTTTTAATTTATCGTTCCTGGCGTACATCATTCACGTATACAAGCGAAGCAATACTTTTGAAGGATTCATAACAACTTTTTTAAATATGCATAAATTAAATCTTGTTAAAGCTTGTTAGCTACTTTAAAGTTTAATTTTTACAAATTTCGTGCTTTGTTAACATGATACATGATGCGTCACAACTACGCTGTCACATTACGCGCAATGTGTCATCTGTGCAATAAAAAATATCAAGCAATCGTAAACTAAATATGTTATCTTTCATAACAAGAGATTGTATTAATGGAGACAAATCATATCTGATAAAGTAATGGTATCAAGCTTGTAAAAAATAGTAATTCGTTTAATGTGTTTTTATTTTTAAAATAAATGCATATAAAACAAGAAATAGATATCATATAATTCGTAAACAAGAACCGTGAATTTTTAACATAAATTACAAAAAAAGAAACAGTGTGAACAGAAATATTTTTAGCAGATGCTGATTTTTTTTTAATAGTCTATAATTTTTAATGATTACATCGTTATAAATTAAGACGAACGAAAATAATTTTCAGTCATATAAATTGGTGCTCGGTATTGGATTTTTGTTTTGAGGTTACCAAGGCACTCTAACGTTAATAATTAATTTCTGTCGTTTACAGTGTTTCGCAAAGTTTCAAAAAATAATACCCTGGAAAGATTAATGATTCGGTAGGTTCACTGATTTATCAATTTAATGACTTAATGAATTTAATCATCTTCAACGAACAGAGTACTTCTAGATCAATGAGACTTGCCGCGATCAGCGTGACTCTCTATTTACTTCTAATTTAATCATTGCATGACCGTCGACAGCATATAGCCCACATCTGCATCCGACAGTGGTACAGGCATGTAGTAAATATATAGCGATACTATGCGACGTACACAAATGGTTGCGCAACGTATAAATTCCGTCGCTGTCTGAGTCTCATATGGAGCGTGCCATTGAAACGTGTTTTTGCTATGAATTCGACAAATATTTGCCCGCGTGACATGGGAAGGTTGACACATGCCGTTATGGAAAAAACCGCGAACGATAAGAGATCAATCGCGTGTACGTTATTTCGCGGCGTGCAAAATTGCATAACCGGGTGGAGAAGAAAATGGAGGGGTTACAATCAATTTTCGTTTAGCGATACACGATGAAATCAATTTTAATCGCGCCGTTGTATCGAGAGCGAAATATCAATTTTTCGGAGCAACGCATAACGATATATAATATAATAGATATTCGTATTTATTAACGGTAACTGTTGAATATTTACGTTGCTATTTACAGGAGATGAATTTTCCATTAACTTCTGATCGATTTTCACCTCCTACGGAATACATTTCAATAAAAATCGTTTCGTAGAACGTAGAAATTATCTTTACAATTTGCACGATTTACGAATAAACAGCATTATTTTACAGGGTTAAAATCAATTTTCATCGTCGTCTCTGTACTTGTCGGTTCGCGAGCCTCTTTTTAGGTATTTAAGATATTTACGACACAAAATGATATTTTCAGCCATTTTCCGGGTATATACACAGAACGTACGACTCAGTGCAATGTTTCGTTTCGCTGATCCTCTCCGCTTGTTCTCCGACCCGCTCCGCTTTAGCCTACATCTTCAACCCGTGTTTCCTATGGTGCCGTCCTCCACCCTCTCGACTGCACCTACACGCGTTTCCTTCGTTTTCTCTCCGCAGTATTTCTTTGCTCGCCTGCGCGAGATCGCGCTTTTCCCGACAATTCTCCCTCCCATTTCGGTAATAATTGAATTCGCGTTACGTCTCGGCTACCGCGCGAGAAGCCGGCGCCGGAGGAAGAAAACTGGCGCGCGCGAGCGTGGACGTTTCGCATTTGAAATTGAGAGGAGTGGAAGAGGAAAAGAATGTATAAAAAGACAGCGGCTGCAACGAGGCAAGTGGCCGGCGTATTGTGCCTTTCGCCGTCGCGGCAATCCGATTAGACGGATCTGCGGTAACGCGGCACGAACCGCGGGAAGTTTACCCTTTGATTTTCAAACTTAACTTGCTCATCGAGCGAGAACAAAGAAAACTGCGCGCGTAACGAAGCTTCGTCTTCAGCGCGAAATTTTCTTCCGCTTAAGGCTCAAAGCGCTTCGTCTTAGAAGATGCGATCGAAACAGAATGTCAGATACCAGCGATGAGAGAAGCTATATAGACTTAATATGGTAATTTAGCACAATATATATATATATACGTGTTCATTTATTATATATAACTTTATATCCAAATATATATGCCTGTTCCTATATAAACATAGGCAACATAGGAATTATAATCACTTTGTTAATGGATTTATAAAACGTGCATATTCAATTACTGGAATTAATTGAATTCGATATACACAATCTACACGAGTTCATCACATTTTACAGTCTTGATCAACGGATATAAAATTGCACGCGAAATATGAATAACGTACGGATGTAATTAATAATTGTTCTTTCGCGCCAATAAAATTGATAAATCGAACGAAATGGATTAGTCCACCGTTTTTTCAATAGCCAGAACCGCAAAATAACGTGTTAATTAATTATTGACTTTCTCAATTTTATTAAGCACATTCTGTTATAAGAAAACTTAATGTATCTTAATTTAATATCTAATAATTAATTTGGCATTCAACCGGAAGCATCTTCAGCGACTTGAAAACGCGAATAAACGTTAGTTTCTGGAATAAAGGTAATACGAGCGATTTTCATTTTCGCGAAAGCACTTTCTTAATTTATTATATTATATTAAACAGAATCTAATAGGTTTCTTTCACGTCCTGAATTTCTTATTAAACTTTTACAAAATTTCATCTCTTTAATATCTGGTGAATAACGAAATAAACAAGTAAACGAAGTAAACGAAATAAACAAAGTGTATATAAAGAAATTGAAATTTTTCGAATAAGACGTGCAAATATATCGCTGTAACGAATATAAAATCCATCGACACAATTAAATCTTTTCGCAATTATTTGGAAATTGCCCTACATATACACGTCCATTGAAATCCTAGTTATTCCCAATCCGCCGGTGTATCAACTGTAACGGCTGTACCATGTGCCACTTCCGATCATTTTTTTTTTTTTTTTTTTCCGAACAAACGCGGATAACGATTATTGCACTTTTTCTCGGCTATTTTGTATGCATTGTTAAACGAGAAACTCCCGTGGCGAAAAAGCGGCTTACGCGACAACGATCGATTTGGCGTCGTTTACTTTCCCTTAACAGAAAGTTTTTTCGTTTCTCGCTTGTTTACCGTGTATCGTACGAGATTGTTTTCGCTGTTGTGCGGAATTCGAATGGAAAAAAAACACACCTTGTTCTATCTAGATTTTGCGCAACGTACTCAAAACGAAAGATTGCAAATTTTCGCCAGTTACGCCAAATAATTTATGAGTGACGTTAACGTATGCCAAATATGCGATATGTATACAATCTCGTTATTTACATGAAAGTTACACAGTGAGCAAAATTCATTTCTACGATGACTCGCGAAATGCATCCTGTGCACCGCTTGCATAGCTAAAGCTATGTTGTTAAAATAATTTTAATGCTGCTTTGAAATATTAATTGTATGTGCGTTCACGCTAATTGTAAATAACGAATATCAATCATTACAACATGATCGGTTTAATGATTATTATTTTGATGGAGTATATTTATTGTTCTAGCACCATCTTTGGTCGAGGTCCTTGGGATTCGGTGAAACTGTGAATATACCGTAGGTTTAGAACAAACGTAAGTTAAATTTTTTAATTAACAATTAGTCTCTCATAATTCATTGTTGATATTCTAATGAAAATATCACTCGTAAAGAATAAATTCTACTTTTTAATAATCCAATTGTTATAATTAATAATCCAACTGTTATAGTCATCATAATTTATTTATGATTATAACATAGAGATAAAAATATAAAAATATAATGCGTGTGTGCATATATGTATGTATGTGTGTTTTATATATTTTACACACACACACACACACACACACACACACACACACAAAATCATGTTACTTTCAAAACCATATCTGACTTCATGAATTATTATTCTCAATCAATTCATTATTATATTTTATACTTATTACATATTTATTCTTTTCAATAACCAATGAATTGAGAATAAATGTTTGAATGCTTAATTATATTAATAAAATAGAAGAAGAAGTCATAGTAACATGACTTACAAGATTAAATATTATATTATTGAATAATTAACGAATATTTCATAAAATACTTTCTTTTAATAAAATATTGAATCAACGGTTATTTCATTCTACAATTTTCTTTTTCTGCAAAAAATAAATTTTAATTATTCCTATACGATTTTCTTGAAACTGTTTTTCATTGAATAATTAAGTGCGAATATTAAGAATCACGTTATTATTCTCTTCGCTTTTAAAGAAGTGCAATGTGCAATATGACTAATCGAGAACAGACTCATCTTTCACAATCAGTTGATATCTTCATTTACTTGAATCGATAACGACCGGTTCGAGCTCCGAAGTTCTGTCTCGTGTTCGCCACATTAGCAAAGAGCGCATTTGCTCTCAAAATTCATATTCCATTCAGTATCAGCCTCGAGTCGAATGACAAAGTACTGTGCTCATACTTCTCATGGCTGGCACAGGCTATCACTACATAACGACCAACAGAACAATGAAAGTAATGTTGGCATTCGTCAGTATTATCCTTCAACGGTTAATACCAATAGAAAGACGGAAAGGAAGGAAAAGCGTAAAAGCACCGGCAGCATGTTCGTTTTTTTTTTTTTTTTTTTTTTAAATTGTTGCACTGCCGTGTATCATCAAAAGAGAATTTCTCTTGTTTGTCTACCTTACATAGAGCATGGAAAGGAAAAGAGAAGTAATCAGGATGAAATTCTGATTGCCTGTAAGCAGATAGATGGATATACACACAAGACTATATAAAAAGTTCAATTCTTTTACCAACCGGACTGTTCGATGTACGATCTCAATGTCGGAAGATTAAAAGCTCGTAACAGTATAAAGGATATCTAGTTTTTTAAAATTCTATCTCTGCTTTAAAATTTAATTAAAGATCATAAATTATTCGTACAATCTCTATGTGTAATTAACACCCGAGACACTACCATGTCTTCTGATTCACATAATGTTATTAATTATGCAAAAAAGTATTATAAAAGATATTATATTTTCTGGGTATTATAAAATCGTTCAAACATTTTTTATAAATAATAATATATTCCATACGATAACTTTGCGATACACAGCATTTTCTGTTATGTTAGTTGCATTTGCGATTTTCAAACACTTGCGTATAACAAGAAAGTTTAGCACTGAGAAATTATTTCGCTCTTCGGATTTAAAGAGCTATAGGTGCTTTTTTCTATACATAATTATATATAGTTTTTCTATACATAATTATATATAGTTTCGAATGTGTCTTATTACTAAGTGCACGCTTGTAATAGAATAAAAGACTCTTCTATGATGTTCAAGTATGACGGTATTGTAATCAGGTTGCACGATCTAACCAGCTACCGAACGAAAACGGGACATGAGTTTCGCGGACTAGTCTTCCGCATCGGCTTGCGGAAGTGCGGAAACGACTTTGACGATGCTCTGATAGTTTCGTGTGACCCAAAGTTAATAACCCCGCGGCGCGGCACGAAACTTTCGCGGACAATGTTCCCGGCCGCAAATTTATAAGATTCGGTCTTATTTGAAAAGTTTATGCAATTTCGCGGTCCCCGGCACACGGTCTGTAAATATTCGGTCGAACTTCGAACTTTTCGAATAATGCAGCCGAGGTTTATCGAAGAGACCGCGGCGAGCGGATATACTACGGAGATTAGATATTGGAAGAAACGAAACGTGATATATGAATCCTCAAATTGATTCAATTGACTTCCGCGGATATTTTATTCAGATCGCTATAAATTAAACGTGTTATATCGATTACTTAATTATTACACAATGTAATATTAATATATTAATATTATTATTATTATTACATAAATATTTTCACAATGCATTTCAGAATACGCTTGCGCACATTTCTGTGACATTTTCATTGATATGTTTTTTATTTTTTAATTTTTAACGTGCAAGTTTTAATAACGGTTTTAGTTCCAAACATTCTTTCGTTAAGGGATTGGATATGATATCGACATTTTTTAACCATGTTTGGCATATATAAACGCGCTTTATCATGTTTATAGTTAGATATGAGAAGAATTTATTGCCGCGTATTGTGAAATTACGATGAACTCAAATGTGATTCTTAATTATATTAAATAATTCCATAAAAGTGAAATATTTTCGTACATTTCTGTTCTTTCTTATATTTCTTTTGCACAACCATGTTATGTCTTCCTTTTTTGCTATTTTGTATTATCAAACATTTCTATTGTTGAAATTTAATTTTTGAACAAGAATACTCTCACTTTTTGCTGTTACTATATTCAAAGTTAAGCATACTTAAGGGGATGCTAGATTTGTCTGTATTACAGACAAAACGCAATCATTTTTTGTATTGCTCTCATTTTTTATTAACTTCATAGATCTTCCTTTTCCACAATTAAAGTTTATGCAATAATGTGTCTAGCATATGAATTGGATATCAAGAACGAGAAAAATTTTTGAAATTTAGATTTTTACTATTTGATATTTTAAAATGGTGTCCAAAGCTGTCAAGTCGCGTCAATATTTACTTTATATAAAATTTTACAGCCTGTATCTACAAAACTGATATTGCTAGACTAGAAAATTACATGAAGAAACAACGTTGAGTTCTTAGAATTAAGCTAGATACCTGATGATGTAACGACAAAAAAACAATAGCGAAAATTTGTTCATATGTGTATACAGAAATGTATGATGAATGCATATAATATATATATA